CAGAATCTTCACCCGGTAAATGGTGATCATTTTTCTTACCTCACAGGGCTTTTGAGGGAATTAAATGAAATAGTACTATGAAGCACTAATCACAGTTCCTGGTGTACGTACAATAAGTGCTCAATAAAAGTTAAGGATGACGACAAAGATTCATTATGGAATATGGAATCTTCATTGGACACATTTTTATTCCAAAGCAGCACCAAGCAGCCGACACCTTGGTCCAGCATGGACAGGTAAGTGCAGCTGGTTCCCTCCAATGGACATCACATTGCCTTGGCACCGGTATTACCACACAAAGCCCCACTTGGGGCTGTTTTTCTCAGCAAGGGGCTGTAAGGAGATGGGCTGACTGAACTTTGTGGATCCCTCTCATAGTCACTAATCATACTGTGGCTGCCCATTATGTTTTGAGTAGTCTTTCAATATTTGGGGACATTTCTACAGTTGAATTACCCCCCACAAAGGGTTGAATTCCAAGCCTCCTTTGCAGCCGGGTGACACAGGCATTACCAGTCATAACCACTTGCATGAGATTCTTGAATTAAGAGGAAACTTGAGGAAGGAGGGCCTGCAGTGGGCTTTCATTCTGTAGGCAGCAGAATCACTGTCTGGCCTCCAGGTAAGAGTGCGACCAGGCTGAGCTTCCTGGTCAGGGATGAGTCTGATGTGCTCACAGCAGCCACAGAGGCAGGCAGTTGGAATACTTGCATTTAGTATCTAGTTTTGGTGGCAGCAATGACAGCAGATTTCTCACTGGGCCCTTTGAAGTGAAACTTTGGCCACTATTCTGGAAAAATTAGCCTTGCCCCAGTGTCTCCAATTGTCCTCATGGTGACGTGAACTACCTTCTATTTTTAAATGCATTTCTTTTACGGCTTGAACTGGCCAGGGTGGACTAAGTTGTTTATCTAAGAAGCTTACCTAGTGCAATTCCCCTCCAATGTTTTATTCTTGGGTAAAATTGGGGGAGGTCTACTTCCTAATATGTGTTTACAAAGATCAATAACTATTGAACTGTTCATTCTAAAAATTCTTCTTCACGGCAGTATCTACTGATGGATTTCTGCACAGGAATTTAAAGTTAATAGGAAGTTCCTAAATGTTGATAGTATCTAAGAAGCTGCATTCAGTTCCTCAAAAAAATTAAAAAAGGATCTGCCTTATGACCCAGCAATTCCACTTCTGGGTATTTATCCCACGAAACCTGAAACACTAATTTGAAAGAATATGTGCACCCTTGTGTTCACTGTAGCATTACGTACAATAGCCAAGCTATAGAAGCAACCCAAGTGCCAACAGACAAGTGCATAGAAATGTTGTGGTACATATATACAATGGAATATTACTCAGCCATAAAAAATAATGAATTCTCACCATTTGTGTGAATGGGCCTAGAAAGTATTATGCTCAGTGACATAAGTCCGTCAGAGAAAGATAAATGCTATATGATTTCACTTATTTGTGGAATCTAAAGAACAAAGTAAATGAACAAACAAAATTAAAACAGACTCAGACCCAGAGAGAGAGCAGATGGTTGTCAAAGGGGAGAGGGTTGGAGGGATGGGTGGAAAAAATGAAGGGATTAAGAAGTACAGCTTGGTAGTAAAGAATACAGTCATGGGGTTGTGACACAGAATACTGGATATAGTCAATAATATTGTAATAACTGTATTTGGTGTCAGATGGGTATTAGATTTATTGGGGTGACCACTTAGTAAGTTATATAGTGTCTAATCACTGGGTTATACACCTGAAACTAGTATACTACTGTGTGTCAAATGTAATTGAAAATAAAAAATTCTTTAAAAAACAAATGCATAAGAAATAAAAGGCTGAATTCAGAAAAGGTGGTCTCCTCACTAAGATACCATCAATATTACAACCACACCATTATATTTTCGTAGATAGAAGAACGTGGGGAATATCAGTTTGGTAGCGCTGCAGAACCACAGATGTCACGGAAATGTCAGGAACATCATGTTGTCACTAACTTGGGCTACATAAGGACTTGCTACACTACACTAAGCGCTTTCCAGATACTTTTCATTCCTTCATGCATTTGTAGCACTTACAAATCAAGAGGTCGTGTGCTGCAGCCAGAGCCTTGTCATGCTTGGGGGACCACAGCCCAGCCCTGAGTTCCGGATAAGGCTCACGCCTCGAAAACACAGCGAGAGGGGGCTAAGGGTAGAGTCCAGCTGCCATTACCCTGTCTCCCACCCTTTCCCCTTCAATATGATCCAGTGTCCTGGACTGTTGCTTGGGCACCTTTGAAGATAATTGGAGATTTCCCATATCTGAGATGAGTTGTACAGGAAAAGGCCAGTGACATTTTATTTAAAACAGGCTTCAAATTTTCATGGCAGATATTGTTTAGAATTTTGTCTTCAAAAATGAAACTGGATATTTGAAAATTAAGTTTATTTTGTACTTAACAAAATGTCATTATATTTGCAACTAAGTGCCAATTCTCATAATGAACAAAGAATGACTTGCACGTGGATGTTCAAGTATGATTTTCCCTACAAAAACACTTTCAAGCAAATACAAACCTCCCTCCCTTCGCTACAATGTAGAAGGTTACTTTTAAAAACAGTACTGTGGGGCCTCTTCATTTCTCTCACCAGACTTTCCTTAGCACTCTGGCATTAAAAATCATTCTTTTTTTGAAGGAACGTTTGGTCAGTAGCTTCTTTAGTTTCTGTCCTTCAGTCATGCACTGGAGTAACTCATCCAGATTTTCATTTGTTGATGGAGCCCATCACCCCCCACTTCTTTCAACATCACTGCACCATTTTATGAAGTTATGAGTGTTTTACAAGACCAGTACCACACTACAGCTTGAATTCGCACTGTGTTTGCACCGCCTTTTCAGATGTTTACAAGGTTGATAAACTGACCAGAGACTAACCAGCAAAGGTGTTGACCTATTGGGTCTAGCTAGATGCAAATAAGATGCAGCAAGGAAAGTTTGAGTGAAGCACACTTGTTAGTGGTCAGTTCATCGGGAGGTATCTTCATGTTCCCATGACTTTGATTCTTTGTGTGACCTGATTAGCTGGGGAGACTGGGTAATACGTACTTTGAATCACAAGGATCCTTCTACCTGCCACTCTGCTTTTCTTTGGGGAATCCACCCGCAGGGTTCTGTCCTCTCGACCTCACCCCTTTCCTGCCGCCTGCAGCTCTGGGGCTCCCTGCCATGTCAGCTCTGCCCGGCTGCAGTTCAGAAACCGGGCTCGCAGAGGTGGACCTGTGACATGCTCTCCGAGTCCACTTGGGTCTGTCTCAATTTTAATACACTAAATTCTCAGGACATTGAAGGTTTATAACTTTGTCCAGAACTATAGTTCCAAGTCAAATGTGTGTTTCTAAGACAAAGTAATATGGGTTTTAGTAAACTTTTAATAGCACATGGTAACATCAAGGTCTTTCTGTGTCTGTCTACAGCAACAGAGCCGTCAGTGTGGGGATCTGGACTCGTCAGTGAGGGTGCGAACACAGTTGTCGGTCCCTCAATGAGGAAACCCTGTTGCACGTTTATGTTCCAACAGTTTTCCATTCATTTAGGCATGCTTAATGCTTTGTCTTTTAAATTTAAATTTTGAAAACTTTTCTTATGCCTAAGAATGAAGTATTTTCTGGCCATGATAACCTCAAATCATTACCAGAAAGTGAATTGAGCAATATTTGCACTTTAAAAATTAAAATATGACTTTTTAATAAAATATCATGTAAAACAATTATGCTATTGGATAACATAGTCTTGAAATGTGTGCAAAATAAACAATCATTTATTTTGCTCTTTGCTATTTTAAAGCAGTTTTTATTAGTTTGAGGGAGTATGCTTCAGCATATAAAGTACTTTGCCAAATTCTGTAATCCTTTTTTTGTTGTTTTTAATGTCATACAGGGTGTGGTGCCTTTAGAAAAATGTTTAAAAGTTGTAGTTCTTGCTGTTTTTTTCCTTCTCTTTTTCAAAAATAATAAAATAATTTAAACTCCACAGGGTAATTCTGGTTCCTACTACTGGCTGCTAGGTATCTCCACTGTTGAAAGTCAAATTATTCCCAGTGGCTAGTGTTTACTTATTTCCTTGCCAACATTGTTTATGTTCTTCATATAGTAACTCATTATTAGAAATGGAGTCTTGATAAGTACTAATTTAATGCTTAATTTCTTTACGAAACGAGGCATCTAAATTCAGCTACATCCCTCTTGCGGTGGTGTGGCTGTTGAGCATCTCGACAAACCCATCCTCTTCTTGTTTTCTTTTATTAATCCCTAGTTAGTGGGAAGCACTAAACAAAATAAAGATGTAAAATTCTTTTTCTGTAATTAAAGGAAAGCTTCGATTTCACAAAGCTGGAATTGTTCTTAGAAAAACGAATTCTCTGTAAATCTTCACTCATCAGTCCTACAGAAAGAAATTGTTGGTGAAGGTCTTTTCTGAGAGACACCAGCGAAGAAACACCTTTTTCGGAACATGACATGAGATGGTGGGATGTAGGATTCTGGTTTGTCTTCATGATTTGACAGAGTTATTGACAATCCACTCACAAATCGCTGTTTGGCTGAAATCGCATTTCTAAATCCCCGCACAGAAACATTTTCCGGATTTTCACACACCAGCAAAAAGGAGAAGAATCTCCACATAGACAGATATTCAAGTAAGACTGTAAGAGCAGGAGTTGAAATATGATAGAGTTCCTCTTCTATTTTCCCTTTTCTTGACTTAGATGTGGCTGTTTGAAGGAAACAGAAATAAAGGAGAAACACCAGGTTTTCCAGCAAGCCCTAATACTTTTTATTTAAAAGCAACTAGGGAAAAACAGTCCCCAAAGCAAACTTTGACCCCAGCCCACCCCCACCCCTGTGATCGCCTGTGGATCACGGAGCCAGGTCCGCTTGGGTACCAATGGGCAGCGTTGGCGGAATGGGAGTTCCCCTATCATCCTTCCCACAGGCCTGCAGGGAGGACGTGACCGGGCTGTGGGTCCCAGGTGCCGGGTAGGAGACGCCTGCCCGCCCCTGGAGAGGAGGCGGCTCAGTCTTCGGAGCCGCCCCTCCCGTCCTGGAGAACAAACGGGATATTCAGCAGTGGCTAGTGGCTGCCAGCTACTCCTTGGGGAAATGAAACTTCGAGTCAGGCTGCACCGCACTCGCCTTTAAAGGCTCCCCCACCGCCAGCCGCTCACACCCGGATACCTGGGCCGCTGCGGCTGCGCGCGCGCCTGTGTGTGTGTGTGTGTGTGTTTGTGTGTGTTTGTGTGTGTGCACGCGGGTCAGCTTGCGTGCACCAGTGAGTCTCCAGTGTGCGCCGGGCTGTGAGCCTGGGGGCGCGAGCCAGCGTGCGAAGGGCAGGCGAGCCCGGAGCGTCTCCACTGGCCATGGGCGGCGCGAGCGCCCAGGCTGTGCTCGGCCTGCTGCTGGCGGCCCAGCTGTCTCAACAGCAGCCCCCGGAGAGGTAATAACGCACCCCAGCCCGGCTCCCTTCTTCCTCCCTCGCTCTGTCCCTGCAGCCTCGCGCTCGGCTTCACTCAATCCGCTCCGGGTGCCCGGGGTCTTAGCCGTAGGCTGTCCCCAGGCCCTTGGACCTCACGGGGCCACGGGGCTCCAGGCTGCCCCCATCCCTGGCCACCCGCTGGCCATTCCGCCGGCCACCACGTGGCGAGGGCGTCATCTGACATACTACTTTCCTCCCCGCGTGTTGATGCGGACGGAGGGAAGCGTTAGGACCCAAATACATGGATTTAGGTTTACTTCTCTTTTTTTCCTCGGGAGAAAGACCTAAGCTTAGAGAAAATTTCGAGTCGCGTGGCCCCCAGCGAGCTGCTCCTGGACACTTAACTCTTCGCCAGCACTTGGGCCGCGGGGACCCACTCAAGACCAACTTTGGCATCTTCTCTAACACCTCCTTTTCCCACGGGAGGCTCTGCCCGTGCCCAGCGATTTTCAGAAAAGGGGAAAAGAATTAGGCATCTTTCCAAATATGGGAAATTAAAACTCTTTTAATATTGACCAGTTACTTGCCTGCCTTTAAACCATGCACCTCACACAGGCTCGCAGTCGTCTTTTCTCTCCCTAGTTAAATTTTTCTGTTTACTGTTTTCCTATCAGATTTTACCACTATGTGTAGGACGACTTGGTTACAGATGGATAAGTGGGTGGATGGGTGGATGGGTGGGTGGGTGGATGGATGGGTGGGTGGGTGGGTGGATGACAGAACGATTGATCTTGTCTTGTTATGAGACAGGTGGCAGCTGGACAGGAGGTTTACCAGGCTATAAGTGTAATATTCTATGGGCTACTGAGCTTTCAGTTCCCTTATATGGTGCAGGCATTTATTAGTCAGTATTAATTCATCCATATTAATAGACTACACCTTTCTGAAGTTGACATGTTTCAAATTGTTTCCCTTTTATTTCCCAGACCTGTTTTCACCTGTGGTGGCGTTTTTACTGGAGAGTCTGGATTTATTGGCAGCGAAGGTTTTCCTGGAGTGTACCCTCCAAATAGCAAATGCACTTGGAAAATCACAGTAAGCATATTTTAAAAGAGTATTCTTCCCAAAGTGGATATTAGAAACAACTGAAGATTGCTGCTTTTCCCCTCTGAGATCAAGGTCTGGGGTAGAGGCAAGTGCCTGATAGTGAGATGTTGGATTTACCTCAACTATTTTGGAGATTTTTATTAATAGCACAAGTGGTATCCTGCATTAGCGGTTGGAAAGGGCGCAAGACAAAACTTGAAGGAATAAATTCTTACAGCAGATGTGTTTCTGAAAACCCAGCCTGACTCAATTGAGTTTCATGGATTAAAAATTAAAGCTATTTTCAGTCAAAGGTCTGTGGTAAGAATTCTTAGAAGCTGTTTGTTGCCTGTGCCTTGCATAAGTGTCTCCCAGCGGGGAATAGATCAAAGGGAGTGCTTGTCCCTGACTGCTTTCCACCCCTTACAGAAGAAGGGTGGGGGAGAGAGGGGAGGAAAAGAAAAAAAAAAAACCCAGTTAATATCCCTGATGTGAACCCATCACTGAAGACAATTTAAGAACAAGAATAGATTTCACTTATATGTGGAATCTAAAGAACAATGTAAGTGAACAAACAAAACAGAAACAGACCCATATAGATAGAGAAACCAGACTGAGGGTTGCCAGGGGGGAGGGGAGTTAGGTAACTGGGTGAAAATGGGAAGAGATTAGAAATACAAACTATAGTTACAAAATAGTCATGGGGTAGAAAGAACAGCATAGGGAATATAGTTAATTATATTGTAATAACTGTGGATGGTGCCAGGTGGGCACTGGAAATATTGGGCAAATACTTTGTAAAGTATATGACTGTCTAGCCCCTATGCTATACACTTGGCACTAATAGAAAATAATATTGAATGTAAAAAATAAAAATAATAAATTAGCAAAAAAATAAGGATAATAATAACTGGGGACTAAATATCAAACAAAGTCTAATAAAATGCCTAGCTGGTTAGTAATGGCAAAAATGATGCTCAGTCAAGATAAAGTGTTAGTTTACAGCCATGCACCTTTTTAAAAATTGTCTGGATTTAGAGTCAGCTAGATTGAGTCTTCTTTTCAGTCAGCATAGTAGTGATTATTTTATTTTATTTTTATTGTTTTGAGAGAGAGAGTGTGTGTGTGTGTGTGTGTGAGAGAGAGAGAGAGAGAGAGAAACATAAATTTGCTCTTCCACTTATTTATGCATTCATTGGTTGCTTCCCGTATGTGTCAGGACTGGGCATCGAACTCACAACACTGGTAAATCGGGACTACGCTCTAACCAACTGATTTTCTCCTTCATTCTTTGGTTGCTGGGAAGTTGTTTCGTAATTGAACACATTGGTTCACTGAGACATTCATTCAGATGGTGCCACCCACAGATTATGATTTTTAAAAGTAGCTACCTCTTTTTTTTTCCATTTAAAGATTGTATTTATTTTTAAGGGAGGGGGAGAGGGAGAGGAAACAGCAATGTGTGGTTGTCTCATGTGTGCCCCCAACTGGGGACTTAGCCAGCAAGCCAGGCATGTCCCCTGATTGGGAACTGAACAAGCAACCCTTTGGTTCTTAGGCTAGTGTTCAATCCACTGAGCCACACCAGCCAGGGCAAAAATAGCTACCTCTTGTTGAGCCTTACTCTGTGCCAGGCACTGTGCCAAGTAATTAACAAGCACAATCTCACTGAATGCTCCAAATCACTCTAAGAAAGTAACATTATTACCCCCATTTTATAGACGGGGAAGCTGAGGCCTAGAACAAGTTATATAAAATTACTGGGTCAAACATTTGATGAGTCCGACTTTGTGTACAATGAAACCTATTTTGCAATGAGGCATTCCCACCAGTCATTTGGCAGACAGGTAAGAGGGCCCCCTCCATAACATACACAGTGGTTCTTAGATGCATTGATGCTCTCTTGTCCAATATCAACTATCTCATTAGCTGGCACAGATTTCATTATGTTGTTGCAACACATGGGACCCGGAGATCATAAATCATGGACAATAGCTATGAAATATTGATATTAGCATAAATTGAAGGAAGGCTCTGAAACAAACATAAAAACAGCCTGATTTTCATATCATAGTGTGTTTCAATTGGAATTAAATGGCTATAAGGTAAAAATGATCCAAGAAACTTAATGGCTGAGCAGCCTCACATGCCTAACAAGGAGGAGTTCACAGCTGGCTGTTTGTTGGGGTGTTATGGGACATTGTTAGTGTGGCATCAAACCTTGATTGGGGCTAGGGAGTGTCCAGTGAAGGCTTTTCTCAGGAAAGAAGTGGTGAGTGGCCTCAGGAGAGGCCCAGCTGCCTCGCCTTTTGCTGGGGCAGAGGCAGTGCAGTGGATGCTGCTCTTGGATGCCATGTAAGTCATGGGGGCTTGGCAGTCAGACATCCCCAGATTCAAATTCTCGTTCTGTCACTCAAGCTGTGTGGCCAGGATTTATCTTCTTTAAAACTCAGCACTGTCATGAAGATGAAATGAGATAATACAGGCAAAGCCCTTTGGCGGTGCCTGGGATGTAATAACTGGCTTGTTAAATGTTAGCCATTACTGTCTGAGTTTTCATTATCCTCATTATTACTGCTACTGAGTTGTCCTGTCTTCTGCGCCAGAATGGCAGATCACTGCCACCCCCTCACCACAGTGGGCTTGGCACCAGCTCAAAACAATGCAGACTTCTAGGGAACTGTCTATGTTGTCATCTGTATCTTAAGGAACTTGTTCTGTGCTTGGGTTCTCCTATAATCTTATGGGAGCAGTTCTGTGTGAGTTCAGGCCAAGTCACCTTCCAGTAACAGAGACCTAAAATAGTGACAGCTCAAACAGAGGTTTGGTTCTCTCACATAAAGGGTCTGGAGGTAGGCAACCCAGGAGTGGGGTGGCAGCTTCCCAGTCATTAGGCACCCAGGACCTTTCTCTCTTCCTGCTCTGCCTGCCACCTCCTGGTCCAAGATTACTGCCTAAGTTCCAGCCACCGTGTTCATGTTCCAGCCAACTAACAGGAAGAGAAGAGCATAGCTTCTCCCTTTAAGGGCATTGTGCAGAATTACATGCAACTTGCTGCTTACATTTTATTGGTTGATTCACTTACATGGCCACTTCTAGCAGCAAGGGAGCTGAGAAATTCAGGTCTCCTTTCACTGTGGAAAGAAAGGGAAACAGGCAGATGACATATTATTGATGGCATGAAATTGAGAAACAAATGCCAGTCTTCTTTGAAAAAAAAAAGTCTTTTGAAAACAGTCAATACAGAAGAAATAATTGTACAATTTTCTTTTCTAGTTAAAAGCTTTGTAGTTTTAACTCTTAGCCGGTTGAGTTTATTCTGTTTTAAGGGGCTGCCTCTTTTTATGTTTGCATATGAGTAACTACAAGAACTTCCAGAGGAGCCTAGCACTTTCTCTTGGGTTTAATTACAGCCTCAGTAGAATGCTCACAAGGCCGTGGGTGCTCTCAAGGTCTCAAGTGTAACAACGTCTTTATTTCTTTGTGTTTCACAAGGAATAGCACTAATTTGTAAACATCTTCATGGTCCTGTGGTTTGTCAAGGCAGCAGAAGGGAGCTCCCCAGCTCCTGCAGACCGCAGGGGCGATGAAAGGACAGGCACTGTGGTACAGCTATGGTGGTAGCCCTGAGATCTTCACTCTGGTTAGCACTGGGTGTGGAGTGCTGGGCACCGCTGAGGTTACGGCAGCAAACAAGGCAGCCAAGCTCCTCGCTCTCATGCAGCTCGTTTGGGGAGACAGGGAATTGATGTTTTAAAAGCAACTAAACAAGAAAATCAAGGATTAGTAAATGCGTCATTATAAAAATAGGATAGATATTGCTTCACAGCCATTAGGAAGGCTATTATGAAAAAATAACAAAAACAGAAAATAAGTTTTGGCAAAGATGTAGAGAAATTGGAAGCTTTGTGCACTGCTGGTGTAACTATGAAACCAGTAGGGGAATTTCTCAAGAAATTAAACTTAAGCCCTGGCTGGCGTAGCTCAGTGGATTGAGCGTGGGCTGGGAACCAAAGTGTCCCAGGTTCGATTCCCAGCCAGGGTACATTCCTGGGTTGCAGGCCATAACCCCCAGCAACCGCACATTGATGTTTCTCTCTCTCTCTCTCTATCTCCCTCCCTTCCCTCTCTAAAAATAAATAAAATATTTTTTAAAAAAAAGAAATTAAACTTAGAATTACCATATCATTTAGCAATTCCATTTCTGGGTATATTCCCCCAAGAAGGGAAAGCAAGGACTTGATCAGACATCTGTGTGTCCATGTGCATGACACCATTATTCCCAATAGCTAAGAGGTGGAAGCAGTCCAAGTGTTTGTCCATGGATGAAGGGATAAACACAAAACAGGATAGATGTACAAAGAACATTATTCAGCCTTAGAAAGTAAGAAAATTCTGACACCCGCTACAACGCGGATGAAGACATTATGCTCAGTGAAATAAGCCAGTCACAAACAGTGCGTATTGTGGGGTTCCACCTGTGCGGAGCACCCAGAGTAGTCAGATCATAAAGACAAAGTAGAGTGGTGGTCGCCAGGGGCTCAGGCAGGGAGAATGGGGATTGGTGTTTGGTGGGGACAGAGTTTCAGTTTGGGAAAACGGAAGAGTTCTGGCAGTGGGTGGTGGCGATGGTGGCACAGCAGTATGAATGTACTGGTGTCACTGAGCCATACACTTAAAATGGTTAGAATGGTAAGTTTTATATATATTTTATCACAATAAAAATATATTAAAAGTAAAATAAAGTGATGGGATGTTCTACAATTCCATTTACATGAAATGTTCAGGAAAGGAAGATCTGTAGAAATGTACAAGTAGATTAGTGGTTGCCCAGTACAGGGGAGAATTATGGGATTAACGGTAAATGGTCAGGAAGGATTGTGGTATTGAGAAGATGGAAGTGTTTAAAAATTGACTTACAGTGATTGTTGTACAACTTGACATACAAAGGTCATTGAATTGTGCACTCGAAGTGGGTTTTGTGGTTTGTAGAGTGCGCCGTAGGAGAG